GGTCTTAAAGGTCTTTTCCTACTTCATTGATTCTATAATTACAAAGGACCTCTCAGCAAGGGATGTTTCCTTGTGTGAGAGTGGTTGCCTCACATGGAGGTTCTCTCGTAACTGTGGAACTATTTCCCCCAGAAGAACCAAGCAGCCAAATTCCAAGAAGGGGAAGTTTTGGATGGCACATCTCCCTAACCTTTGCAATTAGCTGTTATAACCACGCTGATGGAGCTTCATTCTCCTAAATGACTATCTTTAGCCTCAAAGCTGGAAGTTCTGTCCCTGTTTGGGGCAAGGTGGTATCTTTTGCAGCCTCTGGGTTTGCTGTATTTAAAACACTTCCATAGGGAGACAAGGTGATTGCTGCCAAGCTGGAAAACCCGGATGCTGGAGTATATTTTAAGTGACCTCTGGGATCAGGCAGCCTGGGAGTGCAGATATCCAGGCTGCAGGAGCTTTTGTAATGCTTCTCAACTCAGTATCAGACTGCCAGGGTTCATTTAGATCACTTTTAGGAGTCACGCAATGCAGGGAACCCCTGGCACCCCCTCAGGAGAGCTACCAGAGGACAGGCAATCTCTACACAGACAGCTCCAGTTGAGCTCTGCCAGCACAGACTTAATCTCATAGCAACATCTAAAGGTGCCTGGTTGGTTGAGGAGAAAACATTACGGGTTTCCTCACAGGTAGAGAAGGTTTTGTTCCTACACTGTGTAAAAACACCCCTGTGTGTAAGAAATGTCAGTAAACCAGGCTGTTTCAACCTGTGTCCAAAATTCCTATGCAACCCCAGCAAGACCATACCTAATTGCATCGAGACCAGGGAGATGGGCTTGCATAGCCTGAGGGGAAGAAACACAGGAGATCCAACTGCAGCCCACAGCTCCCTGATGGAGAATTACATAGATGATGGAGCTTCTCCTCTGCCACCAGCAGATGGAAAAAGTAAGGGAAAACACCTGAAGGTGCAGCCTGGGAGGTTCAGATGGAACAAGAGGATGAATCTTCCCCCTTGGAAGGTGATGCAGCCTTAGGATAGGTCACAGAGGTGGGGGTCCCCAAAAGCCACAGCTGCCCCAATCTGATGCTGGTGAAAAATCTAATTCCAGTAGGAGTCCTACACCAGAGAAACCTTCCAAGTAACATCTCTTGGATTTCATAACCTCTCTCCTGTTACTTCCTGCTGCTCATGTACTTGAGGATGTGGTTGCTATAGGTTGTCCCTCGTTAATTAACTGCAATGGCAGTTGTTGCTGCTGTTTATCTCAGAAGACGCTCCTCAAAAGCCCCATCCTCCTGCAGCTCCCTCCTTTTATCATCTTATACAGGTTGCCCCTGCTGTGAATTCACTGAGCTGCATGTGTCTGCACTGACTCTTCCCAAATCCAGCACCATCACTGGTACTGTGTTAACTGAGAGCAGCCCTGAGGAGAAGGACTTGGTGGTGTTGGGCTCCCCATGACCCAGTTTCAGTGTGTGCTTGAGCCCAGAACCCCCCCATGTGCTGGGCTGCACCCCCAGAGCATGAGCAGCAGCTCAGGGAGGGGATCCTGCCCCTCTGCTGTGCTCTGGGGAGACCCCCCCTGCAGTCCTGATCCAGCTCTGGGGCAGCAGCACAAGAGGGATGTGGAGCTGTTGGAGCGAGTGCAGAGGAGGCCACAGAGATGCTGCGAGGGCCGGAGCAGCTCTGCTCTGGAGCCAGGCTGAGAGAGCTGGGCTGGGTCAGCCTGGAGAAGAGAAGGCTCCTGAAGGGGAGACCTTAGAGCAGCTCCAGTGCCTAAAGGGGCTGCAGGAAAGCTGGAGAGGGGCTTTGGACAAGGGCCTGTAGGGAGAGGCCAAGGGGAATGGCTTTAACCTGCCAGAGGGGAGACTGAGATGAGCTCTTAGGCAGAAGCTCTTCCCTGTGAGGGTGCTGAGGTGCTGGCACAGGGTGCCCAGAGAAGCTGTGACTGCCCCATCCCTGGCAGTGTTCAAGGCCAGAGGTTGGACACAGGGGCTTGGAGCAAGCTGCTCTAGTGGAAGGTGTCCCTGCCCCTGGCAGGAGTTGGAACTGGAGGAGCTTTAAGGTCCCTTTCAATTCAAACCACTCTGTGACTCTATTTTAGCACTCAGAGAGCTAAAGATAACCCTTCCTTTACAAAACCACCCAGTCAAGTGACTCTCCATGCCAGCACGGTAGCTGCAATGGCCTAAGACTGTCAGATTTGACCTTGTGGGTGAGCTGCAGACCTGTGCAGAGCAAACTAAAACCCACTGATGACAGTTTTGCCTTTGCCATGTTATGTTTTGAGGATTCCTTGTGCACAGCCCACAGATGCTACGATGAAACCCACATGTTGAAACCCCACCAACCACACAGCACCTGCACAGCCACATCTAGCCCTTCGAAGAAAGATCAGCCTGATGCCACATGAGCTGCAGCTCATCTGCTGCATCCTGGAATGTCGAAAACTCAATGCTTGGGATGTCCTGGAGGTAAAGCCCATGCAACATGAAGATGTCCAGGGTCTTCCAACACACAGCCAGCATTGTAAGAGCAACAGCAATAGTTCATGTGTTAAAAAACAACCTCCCCAAGGCAGAGCTCCTCCATTTGGGAACAAAACCAACCTGTTGGCTGCTGGAGAAAGCAGGAAAACGGTTTCCTGCCTGAAATCCTGCAGCTGCATTCCTCCACACTGCTTACTCCTTTTGCCTTTAAGCACGCCTGAAAACCTCCCAGACAGGGATACAGCATTCCTTAGGCATGGATTGTTGCACTGCTTCTGCTCTCACTACAGATGCTTTCTTCTCAGCATTGACTTTATCTCCTCCACTCTCTTGTTCTGCTTGATATGGCAATTGAGCTCTAAGCACACTCTGTAGACCCTTTGGCTGTGGAAATGACCAAGACACACTCATTGCTTCAACTAAAAACAGAACCAGGTCCAAGTACTAAAATCCCCATGTACTGACTCCAGACAGCCCTTGGAACTAGTGGGTGGTTATCTCACCATCAAAACAAAACCCCAAACTAAATCCAAAATGCCAAACCGTGCAAAACCCAGCATTTACCAAAAATGACAAATATTTCATGCCCTTGTCTCAAAGTGATTCTAAGCAAGAACAATCAGTTGGCCACTTTGGCAGCTGCCAGAGTGGCCAGCCTATTATATTTCATGTAATAAAACCAGCCCATTCCACCAAAGCTGTAATCCTATGTGTGGTTTGGGTGTCTACAGTGACTTACACAAACCTTCATCCAGATTCTCCTCCTCTTCCCCTCCTGGCACAGCTGGGGCTGTGTACTGAAGAAACCCAGCAAACTACAGCAGAAAATACAGTAGAAGAGGCTACTTTTAACGCAAAGGTTCAGCAATGTGGATTGCTGCACGGCTCCACAAGGACTTGTACCAACACAGCTCCAAGTCGGGTGGGATGTGGATGTTGGGGTGGGTATTTGGGGATGGGGAACACTTCAGCTAGCTCTGCTACCACCAAACCCACCAGCTTTAAGAGGAACACTAAAACCAGACCAAACTATGTAAACTCAGTTTCAGCTGGGTCATACAGCCTCTGGTCTAGGCAGGTACTAATACTTATCAGAGCAGAGGTGGGGAAGGGACCATGTAGAAGCAGCAGTGTCGAAGCCAGATTGAAAGCCCTATGGGTGACTGATCTGCTGCCTGATCCCAGAGGTCACTTAAAATATACTCCAGCATCCGGGTTTTCCAGCTTGGCAGCAATCACCTTGTCTCCCTATGGAAGTGTTTTAAATACAGCAAACCCAGAGGCTGCAGAAGACACCACCACACCCCAAATAGGGACAGAACTCCCAGCTTTAAGGCTAAAGATAGTCATTTAGGAGAATGGAGCTCCATCAGCGTGGTTATAACAGCTAATTGCAAAGGTTATGGAGCAGAAAGGGAATTCTCTGTTAAAAGGAGTCTGTGATCGGAAAGCAGCAATCTGTGTGAAACCAGACATTTCTGACAACAAACTATGTCTAACAAATCACTTCAAGTGCACACCAGTGCTTTCCAGACTCACCCACAGGACAGCTAATGCCAGTAGAGCCCTGTATTTGTCTCCTTACCCATTACCAGTCTCTTACAAGCACTGGTATCCACTAAGATACATCCACTTTGACCAAACCTTTGGGGCAAAACCATGTGCTTTATGTTCCACATCCCCCCCCAGAGCAGAGCGTCACCCAGCAGCCACAATGAGCACCAAACCACCACACTACTGATCCTTCTGGGCTAGACAGGCTTTCCTGCCCATTCCCTTTTAAGCCCCTTTGCTCCCTGCAGTAAGGAACGTGTTTTACAACTGTTTTTGTGCCATCCACACTCTTGCTTGCTTCATCTGCCCCAGATTATCCTCCTTTAAGAAGTGCAGACCTGCAGCTTGGCAAGCGCTGCTCTTACGGACAATCTGGGAGCAGAATATAACAGGACCAGAGCATAAAATTCCACTCCCCTGCCTCTTGTAAGGCCAATCTCCAGCCCTGCAGCTCAGTGCACTTACTCCAACCGGGAAGCAGAAGCTTTCCAGCCTTCACCTCCCCATGCCAGCCCCAGCACATCGATCTGCTTGCATTTCCACGTCCTGCTCCTGAAGGGCACCTGCATTGCCCAGCAGGGCTCCCAGAGGACGGACCAAAAGCATGCACAGCCACAAACACCACGGCTCTCCCAGCTGGAACTGATACAAGGAAAACCTGCTTTGTAACTCTCTCTCAGAGTTGCGGAGTCTGATTCCGTGCTCCAGAATCACCTACTGGCGCAAATGGCAGCTTGGGAAAGCCAACGTGTCCCCCGTGAGCCAGTCTCAATGAGACACAAGAGCTGTTTCTATGTGTCCTAAGGCACCGAGGGGCTCGGGAACGGTGCCTCCAACCAGTGCCTACGAGGAGCGGGCATCCCCATCCAGCTCTGTGAGGAGGAGAGCGGGGGAAAACCGGCTCGGCCTCTCCCCGTTACACCACGGGTGTGACGGAGCCGCACTCCCCACGTCGCTCTTACCGGTCCCGCCGCCCCGCCGCTCGCCCATGGCTCGCTCCTCGCCGCCCCGGCCCCCTCAGGCCTCCCGCATGCCGCCCCGCCCGGCCCTCGGCGCGGCTCCGCTCCCGGCGGATAGCCCGGGAGGGCGCGGCGCTACCGGGCCGGGCGGGCGCGCTGCGGGCTGAGGCGATGCGGAGCGGGAGCGGTGCCGGCCGCCGCCATCCGCCGGCCCCAGGAAGTGAATCCGGAGGCACCGAGGAGGCAGGGTTGGGGCCGGGGAGGGGGGGAACAGAAAGTGAAAACTGACCCGGAAAGAGAGCGCGGGCCGGCCGCGGCTTCCCCTTCCCCTTCCTCTTCCGGCCGCTTCCTCTTCCCGCTGGTGACCGCTGGCCTTCAGCGGCCCTTCTGTCGTTCACTCAGGTGCCCTCCTCCTGCCTTCCCCCTCGGTGCCCTCCGTGCCTTGTTTTGGACCTTCCCTCTCGGTGCCCTCCGTGCCTTGTTTTGGACCTTCCCTCAGTCCCTCAACCACTTCCTTCATCCCCTCACACCATGGCCAGGGCTCCTTCCCTCACCTTGCTCCTTTCCCTTTAGTGCCTGTTCTCAGTCCACCCTCAGTCCTTTTGCTGATCCCCTCACCTCCTTCCTTCACAGCCTTCTCCCATCTTTCTTTATCACTTCTGCCCCCTTCCCTCATATCCTCTTTATGTCACCCCTCACATCATGCCCTGGGTCTCTCACTTCAATCCTTCCCCCTCAGCGTCTTCCCTCAGCCCCTTGTTTTGGACCTCCCATCAGTCCTCCTGCACCCTCCTCCCTGTCTCACTCAATCCATTCCTCTGCCTTTTCCCTCAGTGTCTTCTGTCGTGGCCTTCTCCAACCTTTCTTTAGCCCTTCTTCCCCCTTCCCTCATCTTCTCATCCCCTTTCCATCCCCCTTACCTCAGTGCTCCCCTCATTCCTCACCCTCATCCCTGTCCCCTTGCCCCTTCAGGGCTGGGGTACCCCTGGAGCCCTTCATGGGGTGGTTCCAGGCCCCTTCACAGCAGCATCCCCATGCAGTGGGGTTGCTCCATCACCCCTGTTAAACAGGATTTTCTCCAGGGTCTTACAAAGTCCCTGGTCTGCACAGATAGCCTGGGATTTGTGCTGCAAACACAGAAGTGTTTGCTCCAGGAACTGAGAGGGGATGTTGAAGCAAAAAGAGCACATCAATAACCCAGTTTCGCTCCACTACCTGGAATCTGTCTGGATCCGACAGGCACGTAAACCACTAGAGCAGCTTGCTCCAAACCCCTGTGTCCAACCTGGCCTTGAACACTGCCAGGGATGGGGCAGCCACAGCTTCTCTGGGCACCCTGTGCCAGCGCCTCAGCACCCTCACAGGGAAGAGCTTCTGCCTAAGAGCTCATCTCAATCTCCCCTCTTTCAGTTCAAAGCCATTACCCATTTTCCTATCACTGTTATGTCCCTTGGATCAACATTAAAAGGCTCTAGAGCACAGGTGATGTTCTCCTCTATCCTCCCATCAGAGGAAGTGGTTTAGGAAGGAGGAGACAAACTATAGGATTCACTTGGCCAAGTAAGAGCTTTAAACTAGACTTAGTGGAGATGGGGATGGAGTTTTAAGCAACGGAGAAGAGCCAGGGGCTGTTGATGCATTAGGAACCAACAAGGGAACACCAGTGGAACGCCTCAGAGGAATTAGGGCACATCTAAAAGGGTGTTGAGGTTGACAGCCCACCTGAAGTGCCTCTATACCAACGCACATAGCATTGGTAACAAGGAGGAGCTGGAAACCATTGTGCAGCTAGAAAGCTGCAATCTGATCAATAAGTATGTTCAATATATAAAGGGAGATTGTCAGAAGGATGGAGTGAGACTTTTTACCAAGGTCTGTAGTGAGAGGACAAGGGGTGATGGGTTCAAAGTGAAACAGGGGAAGTTCAGGTTGGATCTTAGGCAGAAGCTCTTCCCTGTGAGGGTGCTGAGGTGCTACCACAGGGTGCCCAGAGAAGCTGCGGCTGCCCCATCCCTGGCAGTGCTCAAGGCCAGGTTGGACACAGGGGCTTGGAGCAAGCTGCTCTAGTGGAAGGTGTCCCTGCCCGTGGCAGGGGTTGGAACTGGGTGAGCTTTAAGGTCCTTTCCAACCCAAACCGACTTGTAGTTGTATGATACAGTCTCTGTTGGTGGTTCCGAGTTGCCTTCTTGTGATATTGTTGGACCCTACGTGGAGCAGTAAGAATGGATGATAATGTTTTGGGTTCAACAGGCTCAGGAGCTTCTCAGGGATGTTGTGAATGCAGCGAACAATCACTATTGCAACAGATGTTGGAGCAGGGAACAGGGTGATCTGGGCTTGCCCAGTCTCTTACGCAAGGGGTTGTATGAACACAGTGTGCTGAATGATGGGTCAACAGTTGTGCGGCATGACTACACGTGCTTCTGTTCCAGGCAATGAGTCCAGTGGGTGCTTGGAGTGGGATTTCAGGTACTTTTAGCTATGAGATCCATGGTGCTGTGTCCACACATGGACACACTGCACAGTCACCCATCTGAGCTAATAAATTCATGGAAAAGCTGATTCCCAATCCTTACTGGTGTTGCACAACCCATTTGAGTGTCTCTATATTCATCTCCACACTGCACAGGCTGTAGTTTAGCACTGCTGACCTTGTTTGGTGTATTAACACATGCTGGATAGTCGCAGCCTTACCAGGAAAGACTGGCAGAGTTAAAAAGGAGAAAGACCAACAAGAGGACAGTGTGACAACTCACTTATAAGTCACTTATTACCCAAAGCAGCACTGCAGGTCAGTAACATGCCATTACAGATATTTCACCCATGCTAAGCTGAGAGTGCAAAGTGCTGCTGTCCAGTGAAAGAGTGTTTTTTCTGGTGTCCTACAGTCAGCAAGGGCAGTATTGATAGCCTCATGCTCTGACCACCTAGCAATGTATCTCTAGTTTGCCACATCCACTGTTTTTTGTAGCTCCTGCTGACCTATCAAAGACTGGAATTCTTGCTGGTGTTGCTGGTCCTGAACACAGCAAGACTAGGAGAAAGGAAACAGGCTTTCTATGTCCCCATGCCATAGCACTCATGTGAGATGAGACAGAAATATCTAGGCAGGGTCAGTGTCCTCGGTTGGCCTGTGAGAGGGTGTAAAGTGAACAGCCTCGTGTAACCCCATATCTTGACCCTGGAGATACAAGAAGGGCTTTGAGCTTCTGCAGTGTCCATAGAGAAGAGCAGATCTGCAGTCAGAGCACCCAGGTTTCCACCTACAGCAGGACCATTCAGCCACTAGCACAATGAAACATGAGTGGTTTAGTATTAGGAGTTGCTTCTGATGAGAAAACAAAGGATGTCTGCTGAGAGCTCCCTATCAATGATCTGCTCCCATTTCATCTATTAGAAAAACAAAGAATTTGAGGGATTTTTGGCATTGTTTTGCCGAGGAGAGTAACTGAAGCCTCTGGAGGTCAGACCATTTCTAACTGGGGCAATCCCAAGCACAACTACAGAGAACGGATTGGGAGCAGCCCTGAGGAGGAAGACTTGGAGGTCTTGGGTAAGGAGAAGCTTCCCATGACCCCTTGGATAAGGGCCTGTAGGGAGAGGCCAAGGGGAATGGCTTTAACCTGCCAGAGGGGAGACTGAGATGAGCTCTTAGGCAGAAGCTCTTCCCTGTGAGGGTGCTGAGGCGCTGGCACAGGGTGCCCAGAGAAGCTGTGGCTGCCCCATCCCTGGCAGTGTTCAAGGCCAGGTTGGACACAGGGGCTTGGAGCAAGCTGCTCTAGTGGAAGGTGTCCCTGCCTGTGGCAGGGGTTGGAACTGGAGGAGCTTTAAGGTCCCTTCCAACCCAAACCAGTCTGGGATTCTATGATGATTCTATGATTCTATGTCACTGTCTGGTGTCTCACGCCTTTCTGGGTGGTGACACATGAGGTCTGTGCAAGAGGAGAGCCCATGATCTAACTGTGGTGGGGAACCAGTTCCTGGCAATACTCTATTCTGGCTTCTTTGAAAGAATGACTCATGGAGTTCTGGCATGCTCACAACCCACTGCTTCTAAAATAAAGAAGTAGTCATGTGAAGATCTGTTTCCTCTTTTATTCACAAAAAAGATGAATGGTGCAGATGCTGTCAGTCACCCTGTGAAAGACAATAGTTGCAATGAAGTGAGTCAACTGGGAGGTGGAAGCAGCAGTTCCTGATAAGGGCAGTGTCCTCCTGCTCAAAGACAATACATAACATAAAGCAAATAGGTTTGAGACCATTATTGACTCCATGGGGCAGCATCAGGAGTCCCAGCTCCTGTGTGTACAAACACAGCCTGAAGTTGTGGGGTGGCATGGGACCTGCAGGCTCCTCCACTTCTGCCATGTGTGAATCATGGGACAGCAGATGACATTGAGATATGTGGAAACACTGAGTTTCTCCTTGGTTTTCTCTTATTTCCTTATACTATGTGGCATGAGAGATTGGTTTGTTTTCCGCTTGGTGTCATAGAATCATATAATGGTTTGGGCTGGAAAGGACCTTGAGATCATCCAGTTCCAGCCCCCTTACATGGACAGGGACACCTTCCACTAGACCAGGTTGCTCCAAGCCCCATCCAGCCTGGCCTTGAAAGGGAACAAGTGTCCTGAGGAAACAAGTCTTGAGGTTGTGCTATTTCTGTCTGTCTTTTCCATTAACTTTTGGAGCCATTAGCCAGTTTCAACCCAATTTGACAGCAAGGTGGTGGTTTCATATACTGGTTTCTTCTATTTTCTAGGAAAGCAGTGGTCTGCAGCCCCTGTTGTTCCTGTGCTGCAGAGACTTTGGACATGCCCAGAGAAGAGAGGGGCAACTGCAGAAACTGAGAGGAACCACAGGCAAGTGACTACACCAGGGAGAAGAAGTGAGATGGGCTTCTGTTACAGTGGTTCTATTTCAAGATAGTTTCCCTTCCCAGGCAGTGCTTGCAGAGATGAAGCAGAGCAGGACCAGAAGCTGCCTGGTTTTGAGCAGAAATGAGCCTAAACCAGAAGTCTCCCTCGATGCAGCATCACCAGGCCAAGCTGCAAAGTCAAATAAGCCCTAGCATCTGTTGTTAGAGAAACTTGTATTGTGCTGTGGTAAAATATCAAGTTCAGAGCCATTTGGCTTAGGAAGTGTTGGTTCAGGCCCTTAACTGAAAGAGAAAGTGGAGAAGGAGAACTTGTGGAGTTGTTTGACCTCTTCAGTATCCCATTATATTTCCTCATTCCTGCTGGTGTGCCCATTAAAACTGCAGAGCTCATTTTAAAGCTGTCATGTTCAGGCTATGAGAAGTTTATGGAAAGACTTCTGGGCACCTGGGAGGGGTGGGAGGGGTGGGACCAGGCAGCTAGCTCAGAAATGGATGCTCCACGAAGTCTGAGCACTTCTGTTTTAATCCTGGTGGACAGAAAGAGGTTTGTTCCCACTCGCTTCTGCTCTACTCTATTTTCTGTAAAGGAGTGTCAAACCAAACTGTAAGGAGAGGCATGAAATGCATAGTCAGGAACTAGCTGACCCAAAGTCTACTTTATTCCACAACGCTGTCAAGATATTTGTCAACCCCCTTAAAGCTGACTTGCTCCATCCTTCACTCAAGCAAAGCACCCGTAATCTCTTTGGGATCTTGCAGCAAGATAAGCACATTTTGCCCAACACCTTTAATTTTGTCATATCATTCCATAATAGGGGAAGGTCTTCAAAAAGACCACAGCAATGCCATCTCTAGCTCTACACAGACACAGGAGCCTCAAGCACGATGGTATGTGTGTGTGGTTTCTCTGAGAATGAGTGTAACATTTACCACATGCTTTCCACATCTGAAGGTGACAGCCAAGTTGGGATTAAATGTGAAGGATTGTTCCTCCCAGAGAAATGGCTGATGGGGTCTTCTCCCTCCAAATCTTCCTTCCTATCTTCCCAACACATTTTCAGAGCTTACTGTCAGGAGTCTTATGTCTCTTCAAGGAAAGCTCAAGTAACTCTCCACAACGTGCCCATTGATGACATGCTTCTTCCTGTATTTGCTGGGAAATGTGTTGTGTTTTCATTGCCATTGAACCATGGTATTAGCTCACGGTGTACTCATAGAATCATACAATCAACTGGGTTGGAAAAGACTTCAAGATCATCAGGTCCAACCTTTACCCCATCACTGCCAAGGCCGCCACCACATGGGTCCTCATCTCCACCGTGTGTGAACACTTGCAGGGACGGTGACTGCAGCCCTGCCCTGGGCAGCCTGTTCCAATGCCTGAGCACCCTCTGGGGCAGGAATTGTTCCTCAGCTCCATCTAAACCTGCCCTGGGGCAGCTTGAGGCCGTTTCCTCTTGTCCCATCCCTTGTTCCTTGGGAGCAGAGCCCAGCCCCTCCTGTCTCCATCCTCCTGTCAGGCAGTTGTAGGGAGCCATCAGGTCCCCCCTGAGCCTTCTCTTCTCCAGAGACCCCCCCCAGGTCCCTCAGCCATTCCTCATGCACTGTACCCCTCCCACAGTAAAGCACAGTTGAGATCTTCAGTTTCTACTTTGATTTATTCATGTGTTTGGTTTTTCTGGGGCTATTTTGACATCTTGCAGCTTCCTAAGAAACCAACTTATTGTTGCAGTTGTGATGACAAACACTCAAATAGCTCCAGCCACATTGTGGAATCGAAACCAAAGCTGTTAAAACAACCAACCAACCTCTACAAAAGCCTCTGACAAACCCCAGCTTGTCTTACGGTGGTTTCACAAGGGTTTAAAACCACACACTGCATAGGCAGCTACGGGGTCCATCAGGAAATGAGTCAAAGATGACAAGAAAGTGACAAAGTGCAGATGAACATTTTCAGTGGTGAGCAAGTGATTTTGTTTTTCCAAGGCATTTTCCCCCATTTAAAAAATGCAATTATTGAGATATTTATTAAAAATTATTATTTCTGTTGCTTATCCTGTATTCTTGGCAATGTCAGTCTCTGAAGAGAGAGTCTAAACATTACTTATTACTCCTTACCAGGCAGAGGACTGGAGCCAGGAGATCCAAACTGTTACCGTTTGATCATGGCAAAATGAGACTATGTTCAAGACTGTGCAGATCTCCTGGACAGAGTATCTTTTTCTTCCCTTGCAGTAATCAGTCCTGTAGTAATTAAGCAGAGAGAACATTTGGAATCAGTGTTATCTTCAGAGCTGGTATTGGTTTGTGTCAGGCTGGAGTTGGTCCTATCACTCTTATTTCAGCCTATCAGCAGGTGCAGGCAAGTGACCCTGTTCAGCTAAGTGGTATTTACAGTGGAGTATTTTCTCTTAGATAATAATTTAGTATCCATGATCCTCCTCCAAACCCACTTCTTTCCTGCTATGTGCTATTTCCAACCTCTAATTCTATTTCCTTCTGCATTCTCCTGGCACAAGAGCCAGATGAAGCTGAAGGGGTGCTGGCTGTTCTCAGAGAAGAAAGTTTCTCCTGCTGTGAGCTACATCAGCCCATTCAGTGATGCTTAAACTTCTCCATAGGGTGAAGTTCATGGATATTAAGTCATTAATATCTGTATTTTACAGATGAGAAAGCTTAGGCAGTGAGTGCTTTGCTGGAAGCTGGATAAGGAATTTGTGAATGATCAAATTGTTCTTACCCTTTTGCTTTGAGGTGTTGTGTATATAGGGGTATGCTTTGAAATAGGAACACTTCCTCCTGATCTTATCAAATTGAAGCAGAATCTGCATTTATCTCTTTATATTATGGCCTGTATCCTACTTTCATTATCTACACCTGATTAACCCCAGCACTGTCTGAACTGCAGCTGACATATTCATGTCCATCAGAGTATTTCTATCTCTACCTGGCACTACCAGCTATTCTGCACTAGGCAGGTGAATTATTCAGTTTGAAATCCATCCCTGGACCCATCTTGGGGCAAGAGGTGAGAGGATTTATGGTTTTCCAAGATCACTTCCAGCCCTTTTGTCCGTGTTTCCGTTAATGGTCCTGGCACACAGGTCTTTGCGTCTTTAAACTGGGAATGGAAACCCTGAAAATGTAAAACCAACTACACATCTACCTCATCCAGCTTTTGAGGCTGCCATGAATGGCTGCAGCATATGGACATAAAATATAATCATAGAATCATAGAATGGTTTGGGTTGGAAGGGACCTTAAAGCTCATCCAGTCCCAACCCCCTGCCATGGGCAGGGACACCTTCCACTAGAGCAGCTTGCTCCAAGCCCCTGTGTCCAACCTGGCCTTGAACACTGCCAGGGATGGGGCAGCCACAGCTTCTCTGGGCACCCTGTGCCAGCGCCTCAGCACCCTCATAGGGAAGAACTTCTGCCTTATCTCCATCCTGAACTTCCCCTGTTTCAGTTTGAACCCATCACCCCTTGTCCTATCACTCCAGTCCCTGATGAAGAGTCCCTCTCCAGCGTCCTTGTAGCCCCCTTCAGACACTGGAAGCTGCTCTGAGGTCTCCACACAGCTTCTCTTCTCCAGGCTCAACAGCCCCAATGTTCTCAGCCTGTCTCCATACAGGAGCTGCTTCAGCCCCTGATCATCCTTGTGGCCTCCTCTGGATTTGCTCCAGCAGCTCCGTGTCCTTCTGATGCTGAGGACGCCAGAACTGCACACAGTGCTGCAAGTGCGGTCTCACAAGCAATAATATCTCATATTATAACATCTCGTATTTGGAGAGGTCCCATCGTGGGCTCAGTTGACAGCATGCAGCAATTTTAGTTCTTACCAACTGAGTGCAAGACACACTTGATTTTCTCACTACCTGGAAGTGGCAGCATCTCTGTGCTGACCAGAAGTTTCCCACTGGAGTGATTTAATCTCATCCTCCTGCAATGGAAAATTGGTTTTCTTTGAGCTTATTATTTTCAGGAGGAAAACGTCCACTGGTGGAAAGCATTGATCTTCCCCTCAAAGGAGGAACAAGCACAGGGGGGATTTCTATGAGAAGTGCAATCACTGCAGAATAGCAGGAAGAAATAGAATTTAACTTCAGTTTTTCTTAAATAATGTCATTGTATTGGCTTTTTAAACCTGTTTTTAGCCTGTTTTGTGGTGTGGATAAAAGGGGAAGCAGGTGTTCTTCGGCTGCCTGCATACCCTGAAGCATCACTCCCAACCGCCTGAGGAGGGCACAAACCAATGCAAAGCAGGAGGGCAAAATGAAACCCATGAATTGCAACTGTGTGGCAGGAGCATGAAGTGAAGGAATCCTGCAGGATCTCTCCTTGGGGAGGAGCGTCTCTCCTGGCAGAGATTGGGGTGAAGGGGATTGCTTTGTCTCTGGTTTTAACCTGTATCTTCTGTCTCCTTGCTCTCTGAGAGGTCAGGAACAGCAGAGTCAAGTTGTGTTTCTCCAGCCAGCACCCACATTTAACTCCTTTGCCCCACAGGTCTGGTTTTGCTTTGGGTGAAGTGCTTTGCTCTGCTAAGGCGAAACAAGCATGCAGACACCAAGGCCCATTAGAAATACTCATAAATAACAGCTTCATAAATAATCCATTGAGAATTGGGATTGTGAAAGCTTTGTATTCCTGGATGCAATGGGTTCCTTCTCCTACATCTCTAATGCAAAGATCAGTAACACAGAGATGGAGGAGGATGGGAAGGTGGAAGACTGTGTTTTACTTGGCTCTTCCCGCTCCTCACACACACCAGTGTCCCCAGTGACACCAGTGCCCCTGCACCAGTGCTCTCAGTACCCTCTGCCCACACACACCAGTACCCCCAGTGCCCCGAAACAGTGTCCCACAACCCCCTCCCCACATAAACCAGTACCCCCAGCACCACCAGTATCCCCCCACCAGTGTCCCCTGTACCCCCTCCCTACATACATTATTTCCCCCAGTGCCCCCAGTACTGCAGCACCAGTGCTTCCAGCACCCCTCCCCATATACACCAGTACCCCGAGTATCCCCAGCACCATCAGTACCCCTCCAGCAGTGCTGCCACTACCCCCAGCACTCCCACACCAGTGCTCCCAGAACCCTCTCCCCACACACACCCAGCGCCCCCAGTGCCCCTGCAACAGTGCCACCAGTAGCTGTCCCCACATACACCAGTACCACCAGTATCCTTAAGTGCCCTCGTGCCAGTGCTGCCAGTACCCCCAGAAACCCCAATGCCCGGCACCAGCGCTCCCAGTACCCATTCCCTACACACACCAGGACCCCAGTGCCCTGCACCAGTGCCCCCAGTACTCCCTGCCCACACACACCAGCGCCCCCAGTGCCCTGCACCAGTGCTCCCAGTACCCCCTGCCCACACACACTAGTACCCGCAGTGCCCTGCACCATTGCTCCCAGTACCCCCTGCACACACACACCAGTGCCCCCAGTGCCCTGCACCAGTGCTCCCAGTACCCCCTGCACACACACACCAGTACCCCCGGTGCCCACTCCCCCCACACACCAGTGCCCCCAGTGCCCTGCACCAGTGCTCCCAGTACCCCCTGCACACACACACCAGTACCCCCGGTGCCCACTCCCCACACACACCCGTACCCCCAGTTTCCCGTTCACCCGCACCACCCGGGACTACAACTCCCAGCAGCCACCGCGCCGGGGCCGGGAGCCCGGCGGCCGGAGGCGGAGCGGGGCGGAGCGGAGGAGGCCGGAGCCGGCGGCCCGCGGGGGGCCCGGGCCATGGAGAGCGCCGAGAGCAGCGAGTCCCTGCGGGGTGAGATCAGTGAGTGCGGGGCCGGCTCTGGGTCTGGGTCTGGGTCTGGGTCTGGGTCTGGGTCTGGGTCTGGGTCTGGGGGCGGAGGGACCGGGATGGGGGCAGCGGCGGGGGCTGGGGCGGGCACGATGGTTCTGGGATGGACAGGATGGTTCTGGGGTGCACAGGATGGTTCTGGGATGGACAGGATGGTTCTGGGGTGCACAGGATGGTTCTGAGATGGACAGGATGGTTCTGGGGTGCACAGGATGGTTCTGGGGTGCACAGGGTGGGTTTGGGGCGTTCAGGATGGTTCTGGGGTGCTCAGCGTGGGTTTATGGAGGTCAGGGTGGTTTTGGAGTAAGCAAGATGGTTCTGGGGTGAGTATGATGGCCTTGGGGTGGACAGGGTGATTCTGGGGTGCGCAGGGTGGTTTTGGGGTGGACAGGATGGTCCTGGAGTGCACAGAATGGTTCTGGGGTGGACAGGGTGGTTTTGGGGTGGACAGGATGGTCCTGGAGTGCACAGAATGGTTCTGGGGTGCACAGGGTGGTTTTGGGGTGGACAGGATGGCCCTGGAGTGCACAGAATGATTCTGGGAAGCAAAGGTTGTTTTTGGGGTGGACAGGATGGTCCTGGAGTGCACAGAATGATTCTGGGGTGCAAAGGTGGTTTTTGGGGTGAACAGGATAGCCCTGGAGTGCACAGACTGGTTCTGGGGTGCACAGGGTGGTTTTACGATGGTCAGGGTGTTTTTGGGGTGGACAGAGTGGTTCTGGGATAGCCAGAATGATCCTGGGGAGGACAGGATGGTTCTGGGGCAGGCAGGAATGGTCCTGGGGTGCCCAAGGTGTTTTTATGATGGTCAGAGTGGTTTTGGGGTGGTCAGAGCAGTTCTGGGCTGGGCAGGGTGATACTGGGGCTGGGCAGAGTGGTTTTGGAGAGGGCAGGGTGGTTCCGGGGTCTGTAGGATGTTTTAGCGATGGGCAGGGTGATTCTGTGGTGCACAGAATGGGTTTGGGGTGTGCGGGGTGGTTTTGGAGAGTGAGTGTGCTCTTAAGGAAGGGAACAAGAGGAAGGGGGGGATGCTCATGGGATCCCTCCTGCTTCTGGCCATGGGGAATTACCATTGTTCCTTACGAAGTGTGTGTTCCTTCTGTGTCTGTGTCCTGAAGAGGTGATGTTGGGGAGCTGGAAGGGATGGATGCTTCATAACTGCAGGTGCAGCTGGAGGGATGTGGATGTAGGAGCCCTGTCCATGGGGACTGATCATAGAATCCCAGACTGGTTTGTGTTGGAAGGGACCTTAAACCTCATCCAGCTCCAGCCCCTGCCACGGGCAGGGACACCTTCCACTAGAGCAGCTTGCTCCAAGCCCCTGTGTCCAACCTGGCCTTGAACACTGCCAGGGATGGGGCAGCCACAGCTTCTCTGGGCACCCTGTGCCAGCGCCTCAGCACCCTCACAGTGATGGTGCCTCCATGTAAGGAACTGTGCAGGAGGAGAGAAGAAATTAGTGGAGCCTGCAGCTTGCAGGTTGGCGTTTTTGGGGGTTATATAATAAGCCTTTAATGAAATGTTGCTGGAGCTTGTTCTTCTTCTCAGTCCTGTTGGTGACAAAGTGATGCTGCTCCGTGGCTGAGCGATGAGAGCTCCATCCTCATTTTGACTTCTTGCTTCTACTGATAAAAGCAACAGGAAGATCCAGGGAAGGAAAACCGTCCTGCTAAGGGATGTTGGCAAAGGGAATGGGGATCTAACAAGCACATTTGGATTGGACATTAGGAGGAAGTTCTTCCCTATGAGGGTGCTGAGACACTGGCACAGGGTGCCCAGAGAAACTGAGGCTGAGCCCATTTGCTCTGTGTGTATTGTTTTATTTACTTACCTATTTCTTCTCTCCTCTGGAGGCTTCTGGGCCGACCGGACCCCAGTTCATGAAGCAGCCAGGAGGGGAGAGATTCTGCAGCTGCAGCAGCTGATAGAGAGCGGAGCCTGTGTCAATGCCGTCACCTATGACTCTATCACCCCTCTGCACGAGGCAAGCCTGCGAGGGCAAACGCAGTGTGTCAAGCTCCTGCTGGCTGCAGGGGCCCAGGTGTGTGTCTGGTGATACAGTGCGTACTTCATCTGTTGGGACAGCCACAGCTTCTCTGGGCACCCTGTGCCAGCGCCTCAGCACCCTCATAGGGAAGAGCTTCTGCCTAAGAGCTCATCTCAGCCTCCCCTCTGGCAGGTTAAAGCCATTCCCCTTGGCCTGTCCCTACAGGACCTTGTCCAAAGCCCCTCTCCAGCTTTCCTGCAGCCCCTTTAGGCACTGGAGCTGCTCTCAGGTCTCCCCTTCAGGAGCCTTCTCTTCTCCAGGCTGACCCAGCCCAGCTCTCTCAGCCTGGCTCCAGAGCAGAGCTGCTCCAGCCCTCGCAGCATCTCCGTGGCCTCCTCTGCACTCGCTCCAACAGCTCCACGTCCCTCTTGTGCTGCTGCCCCAGAGCTGGATCAGGACTGCAGGGGGGGTCTCCCCAGAGCACAGCAGAGGGGCAGGATCCCCTTCCTGAGCTGCTGCTCACGCTCTGGGGATGCACACAGAGCCTTGCACTTGGCCTTATTGAACTCAATGAGGTTCATATGTTCCCACCCCTCCAGCCCAGCTCCCTTGGGATCCCAGCCCTTCCCTCCAGCATGTTGACCCCACCACACAGCTTGGTGTTGTCATCACACTTTGCTGATGTTGCCCTTCCTGAGGCTGATGGGAACTGTGCAAAGCAGGTTGCTGGCAGTGACAACCATGTCTTTCCCTAGCCCAGAGTATTTCTAGGGTTGGAAGAAGTGAAACCACAGAGCAGCCTGCAGGTTCCTAACATCTTTTGTCTGTCTTCAAGGTGGATGCCAGGAACATCGATGGCAGCACTCCTCTCTGCGACGCCTGTGCCTCCGGTAGCATAGAGTGTGTCAAAGTGCTGCTGTCCCACGGTGCCAAGGTGAACCCTCCCCTGTACACGGCCTCTCCTCTCCACGAAGCCTGCATGAATGGTAAGCCCTCATGGTCTTATCTTTGCATGGTTATTTGCAGCCTGGGGTGGGGAAATCAGCAGCTGCCAAGTATCTTAAATTGACCTTAAGCTGTTGTTGCTCATCAGACCACTACAGCTTGCAAATGCATCAGCCTTATGTGGGCACCTCTCCCACATCTCTGGTTGAATTCCCTATGCAAAGAGCTGTGGGGTTGGATGAATAAAGCCATATATTGGGTGCTTTTGTCCCACATGACAGACACAGGATAAGATCTTAGGCTGATAAACACCAGCTTCTTGGTGCTCTGTTAGAAAACCATCGGCAAACAGGTAGCTTTGCTGTTGTGAGCTGAGGGGTTTGCATCCTTCCCCTCTGATCCAAGTAGATACGGAGTAAATTGCTCTGATGAAGACATGAGACCATGTTAATTGGGTAGTTCTGTCCTAGAGGCCTCCTGGTTCAGAGTTAGTGGAGGAGGCTCCCAGGTGGGAAGAAGGTGCCAGGACAAGAGAAAACTGCAGAGGCCAAAATGATGTTCCAGCCTATGTGTGCAGCCATTCTCTGCTCCCCCATCCTCTACTTAAGCTTCTGGATGTTTGGATGAGGGTTACGGAGCAGGAGGAAGCATCAGGGGTGGCTGTAACAGCAGCAGAGGCAGGAGGAGCAGTGGAGGGCTATTTAAGTGTAATTCCTCTCCTGAATTTCCACTTGCACGCATGCAACAGTGCAAAAACATGGATGTGAGAGCAGCAACGTCCCCATTAGATGATTGTGACCAAATTTCTTCATCATTTTGTGCCTTAGTTTCCTCTTTGTAAGCTACAATACCTCCTCTCTCCTCCCCTTCACTGCTTTTCTTATATGCTGGCCTGGACAGTGTTTCCCTTTGACTCTGAAGGCCAAGACAGCATTTTGGCCAACAGGTAGTTACTTAAATAAGTAGCTGTGAGCTCTTGTTTAGCTTTTCCTTGTTAATCCTTTTTCATAAGGCTTGATGGTGGTGACTGCCTGCTTTCTATTAAGTTGTATCATTAGCATCAGAAAAAGTCAAGCTGGAGTGGTCTTGAAAGGGACCTGAGCCACCCAGGGCAGGATCAATACAACCAGCTCCATGAACAACAGGGGATTTAGTGCGAACCCTTGGATTCAGGTTTGTTTGACCTGGCTCTTAGGCAGAAGCTCTCCCCTGTGAGGGTGCTGAGGCGCTGGCACAGGGTGCCCAGAGAAGCTGTGGCTGCCCCATCCCTGGCAGTGTTCAAGGCCAGGTTGGACACAGGGGCTTGGAGCAAGCTGCTCTAGTGGAAGGTGTCCCTGCCTGTGGCAGGGGGTTGGAACTGGAGGAGCTTTAAGCTCTGTTCCAACCCAAACCTTTCCATGATTCTGTGACTCCCTGCAAGACCTGTTAGCCCTAGCTCAGTGCCACGCAGATGTGACTCTATTTCTCATGTCCTGATCTCAGTCTTGGTCCTACAGTATATTGTGTTGGCTCACAAGTGTTGCTATTTTGCAGATGTCACCCCAAATGTTAAACAGGCTGTTTGTGGGTCAGGCAGATCTTGGCATGCCACATGCTGCCATTTGAGTTGGATCCTTTCTTCTCACTTGGATTTTCCCTTTCTAAAGGTAGCTCCGAGTGTGTGCAGCTCCTCATCGACGTCGGTGCCAACTTGGAGGCTCACGACTGCCATTTCGGGACTCCTCTACATGTGGCTTGCGCTAGGGAGCATCTGGACTGTGCCAAGCTGCTGCTCAAGGCAGGTATGGCAGCCACAGGGTTTGCTTCTGGGGGTACAGGAGATGGTGGTGATGGTGTGAGCAGCATCTCCTTCAGTGCTCCTCAGCGGCGTCCTTGTCAAAGAGCTTATGCATTCACAGCATCATCTAGATGAGAAAGGTGAAAGGTTTTGCCTTTCCCTATGCAAAGCTTAATGCTTAAGCGTTTCTTTCCAGTGTATGCCTGTCAGTATCCAGTTTTGTGATGTTCCCATGGGTATTCCTATTCTCTTATTTTAATAAAGTCCAGAATTCTTCAGCAAAGATTCAGCATCTTCCCAGAAGTGGTATCAACTTGTGAGCATGTTTTCATCTTTGGTAGCACAGTCCTGTGGCTCTGCCTAGGTGTTTGGGAGAGATGTTAGGGTTTGATGTTGCACAGAAAACCAGAGATGAAGTCACTTCATACCTCAGGGGGATCTGCTTTGTGTAATGCCCAGATGAGTTTGTTAGGATATTCAAGGTCTGTGCTCCGGGTTTCACATCCCAGCTTTCTTGCTGCTTACCTGGGGGGCATTTGGAGTTGGACTTCTTGTCTTTGTGTTAACCAGGAGGAGATTGGGCTCAGGAATGGAGATTTGGTTCATTACAGTGGTTGTCTAAAATCACACGTCTAAGGTAGTTTGTTTCCAGCCACTCCAGTTCCCTGTCTTGGGCATCCATTAGTTGATTCCCCAGAAACACCTGTTTCTCCTTGGTTATTGTAATGGGAGTTCATTGTGGCCCCACATGTCTAAAAGTCAGTTGTTTGGATTCAGTGAGGTTCATCTCACCTCTGCTGAACAAGTCAGCTGATAAAATACAAGCAGTTGTGGGGGAATGAGCAGGATGTTTTGCTGTGAGCTTATAAAAGCCAAACTTCCTTAGCAAGTATGTGTGTAACTAAAACTTGTTCCTGCAGCAGGGTCTGGTGGTGAGATGCAGCATCCCATAGGGCTGAGATATTTCTGTTAAAACAGATGAAAAAGGTGTTTATCCTGAGTGGGAATACTCCATTGAGATGACTGGGAATGGCTTTGGACAGCACAGATTCAGGAAGCAGTTCTGAACTTCACACTCCGCAGCCTATTTACCCGCTAACATGGACTCATATCCTTCCTCTGCAAGGAAAACATGAAGCCAGAGAAGAAAACTCCTGTGTTGCCAGCACTGAGAACATGTTCAGTGGTTGGTTTCCTGTTTGCTGTTATGCTTGGATCTTGTTCTAGCTGCTTGTGTGTGTTTTAGCAGCATTTCTTTCCTCCAGTCAAACCACTCCTTAAGGCTGGGTCAGGCGAGGCTTTCATGAGCAGCTTTGTTTGCCTTTCCATCCTCAGGGGCTAATGTGAATGCTGCTAAACTTCATGAGACAGCCCTGCACCATGCAGCCAAGGTGAAGAACGTAGACCTGGTGGAGATGCTGATTGAGTTTGGAGGAAACATCTACGCAAGGGACAACCGAGGGAAGAAGCCGTCGGATTACACTTGGAGCAGCAGTCCCACAGCAAAGTGCTTTGAGTATTATGAAAGTAAGTAAGAGATGATTCCCTGCCCCTAGAATTCAGTGACTGCCAGCTCCTTTACATGATTCTCAGCCCACTTGGAGTTGTAGATCCCTGATCATCTTCCTATGAAGGTATAGAGTTCTTTGTGGCAAATGTACAGCAGTTGGCCTTGGCTAGCTAAGCTTAGTTGTGGTTGAATGACAGGATAAGGTGGTCCAAATCATGCTCTCACTGAACTGCGGTCCCTCTCATGTGTCAGCATGAGTGTTTATGCTTTGATGTGTAAGTCAAGTCAAGGAAATGGCCCAGTTGAAAACTCATTTTATTTAGGGTGGGGAGCACATTAAGCTTTAGCTGCACTAAGTTTTAGGAGACCTTTGAGGATGCCTTTAAATCAGTCTTTGTCTTGGTTACCCATAGTGAACCTCAGAGGAGTAATTCACAGATCATCCTAAACATTTGCAGACCCCTGCTCAATGCCACTGCATTAGATGATTCTAGAAGTCATAGACTCAGAATGGTTTGAGCTGGAAGAGACCTTCTAGTTCCAACCCCTGCCACAGGCAGGGACCCCTTCCACTAGAGCAGCTTGCTCCAAGCCCCTGTGTCCAACCTGGCCTTGAACACTGCCAGGGATGGGGCAGCCACAGCTTCTCTGGGCACCCTGTGCCAGCGCCTCAGCACCCTCACAGGGAAGAGCTTCTGCCTAAGAGCTCATCTCAGTCTCCCCTCTGCCAGGTTAAAGCCATTCCCCTTGGCCTGGCCCTACAGGCCCTTCTCCAAAGCCCCTTGCCAGATGTCTTTTAGTCCCCCCAGTCCTAAGATGCTGCCATCCCCTGCAGCCTCCACAGTCACCAGCCTCCAGGATTTGCATCTGTCCTGGATCTAGTTCTAAATTTAATGATATGAGTAAAAAGGGAAAAAAAACAAACCTACTAAATCTGTCACAGCACTTTTACAAGAGGCTGTGCTGAGAAGCACTACACGTGCAGTTCTGCCAGCTGGGTTGAGAGGGGGCAGCAAACTCTGGCAAGATACAAGGAGTATTTACAGGCACGTAGGATTCAATCTCCTTAGCCTCAGCTGCAGGCAGAGCATCCCACATCACTGCAGTGAGTGCGATGAGGAGTTCAGGGGAGAGGTTGCTACAGGCAATGAGGTCAGAAGGAGAACGGGCTGTAGGGTGCTCACCACACAAAGGATTGTAAAGGCAGAAAATACTTCTATATGGAAGAATGATTTCTATAAGGAAGAATGTTTGTTTCTTTCTTATAGTGAGGGTGCTGAGGCGCTGGCACAGGGTGCCCAGAGAAGCTGTGGCTGCCCCATCCCTGGCAGTGTTCAAGGCCAGGTTGGACACAAGGGCTCGGAGCAAGCTGCTCTAGTGGAAGGTGTCCCTGCCCATGGCAGGGGTTGGGACTGGATGAGCTTTAAGCTCCCTTCCAACCCAAACCATGCTGGGATTCCATGACTGATGACTAGACTAGACTAGAGCAATGTGCCTGATTGTACCTCTGCATCCATGCATGAGCATCAACTCCTGGATGCAGTTTGAGGGCTGGAAAAGGAAAGCCTTTTTTGCTGTCAGCAGAGTGCTGAGCAAAAAGGATTAATGTGGTCCTTAGATGGAGAAACAGCTGTAGAGAAGTGTTGGAAGTAGTATTTGTTCCTATATACTGTGTTGCTGAGGCTTAATACAGCATCACTCAGGGAAATATGAAAGTCTTGGATCCCAGTGGATCAGAGCAGATGATCCGGTGGTCACCATTGGCCTCTGGGGGATGCAGCTGAGGGAAGGAGCTGGGAGAAGTGCAGTGCACCTATATTCACTATTCCTAGTGGGATTTACATTGGGATGAGCCTGGAGAGGTCACAACCATGACTTTGCAATGCCTTCCTTTAGCACTTGCAAGCAGAGCCGACCTTGTGATCCCAGCAGGATCAGTTCCAGGCATCAGCCCCTGGGAGGTCCATGGGAAGATCAGTCACCTCCTGAGCTGCAGCTCTTAAGTCTGGATCCTCTTTTCTCCCTTCAGAAACACCCCTGAGCCTGTCCCAGCTCTGCAGGGTTACCGTGAGGAAAGCAGCCGGGCAGCGGGCGCTGGAGAAGATCGCCAAGCTCAATATTCCTCCACGGTTAATCCAGTACCTGTCCTACAACTGACAGGGGTGAAGGTGCCCGGGAAGGACAATACCTTTAGCTCCCACAGCGTGAAGTATGTCTCTTTCTCTTCTACCTCCCCCCCAACCCCAAACTCATCGTAATTTAAGCAAACTGGTGTAAATAGTATTTATGAGGCAGCACTTCCTCTTCTCCGTGGGCAATGACAGGCTCAGGCAACGTGTAGCACTGTAGAAGCTGTAATGTCTCCTGGGGTGATCTGTTAGACTGTCACTGTCTTTAAGGCTTTAGCATCCACTCTTGGAACACGATTCATCTTGCCTAATTTTACCTGTCTTTAGCCTAAAGGCATCTGTGTATGATCTCACCAGGCTCCCTTTGCAGTCAGTGAGGAGAAACAGATACTTCTGGAGCATGATTCATCTGTCCTGTTTTAGATGCCCGTGCTGGGATGATACAGTATGCCTCCGGAATGCCTGCCTCTGCTGACTGCAAAGGGATTTGAAGGTGATACCCTTAGATATGGACATCTGTGTTTCTGCAGTGGATCCCTCTGTGTTAATAACTCAAATGACAGCTACCTAATGCCAAGGGACAAGGTTTGAGAGACCTGTATGCTATAGCTGGAGGCAAATGAAGTCCCCAGCATGCTCAGGACTAATTAGAGGCACTGGTTACTGACTTCCCAGGAGCATAAGGAAGGCTTTGGCTCTGCACCAACAGTGAGGACAAGCTCCTGCCAGAGCAGGGGTGACTTTGCCCTCTGAAGTGAGCCAGCTCTTCCTGCAGCGCTCCTCTAGGGGATCACCGAGGCTCACGTTCAAGGCCGAGCAGGAAGCAGGTCTCTCTGCCCGTCCAAACATGCTGCCCTCCAGATGGCTGGTCCCAAACTATATTGCTCCCCTCGCTCTGAGCCACCGTGGCCCCTCTGTTGGGTTTGTGTGCAATAAGGGGCAGAGCTGCTGTGCACGAAGCACAGCGCGAGGCATGTCCCTTGTGCAGCAGTGGTGTATACCCACACGTGCAAGGCAATGGGAGGGCTCTGCCTTTGGGTTTTGAGGTTCTTAACTTGCATTTCCCCCCCTCTCTGAGTACTTGTCTCAGTGCTGGAGCCTCTCCAGAGGTTGGCAGCAGCAGCCAGCCCTGCGCCGTGTGCTGCTGTGTGTTGTGCTTGAATCCTTTGGCTTCAGCAGGCACAGCAGCAGCTCTGTCCTTTGGTGATTTAAACCTTCAGGGTGACATTTGTATGAGCAGAGCCCAAATCATCACCTGCCTTCCAGACATTACGTGTTGTCTGAAGGCAGGAGCCCACAGGGTACATGGTACTAAGGGGATGGAGCTCTCTGATGCCCCCATAGCAAGTCTTAACACTGTGATGAGAACAAATCCCTCCTTCTGAATGACAGCAAATGCTATGAAATCCCCTGTCTAACGTGGCATGGAGCTAACTCAGGGCTCCCAACATCCTTCATGCTGTGAACTAATGAGAGCAGTTTGCCTCCTGCCTGCAACATCTCATGCTCCCCCAGCCACCACCATGGGGCTCAGCCTTGGGAGAGGGGCAAACAGCCTCAGCACAGGGTCGAAGAGCTGAGGTGGAGCTGAATGCACTTTAATGGTGACCAGCAAATCACTGTGTGTGTGTTCATGTTTGGTTAGGTTCAGTCCCCACAGCCCTCCTGTGTTGTCGCTTTGCGTTCTGCTGTGCTGTGTCATAGAGAATAAAGCTCAAGATCCTGCTCTTTAGGGAATTGTCTGTGGGTAATTGTGATTATTGTGTTTAAATGTGAAGTTGCCAAGAAGCTAAGAGAAGCCCAAGGGATGTTGGTTGTGGGATTCATCCCTGTGACTGATGGGATAAAGGTTTTGTGTTGTATCTTCCAAGGAAAGCTTCCCCTGCCCAACATGCATGTCCTGTTGGATAAATACGCATTAGGAAAGTGCATCTTGTGGTAACGGGGGCGAAAACCATCCCTTTTGGTTCAAATCCAAATCCCTATTAGGTTGCTTTTTAACACAAGGCTGGTGAGATGATGAAATGGTCGAGTCCAAGTTTCCAATGTAAAAGCAAAAGATTCCTCAGACAACCAAGAATAAAATGACAAGTTCCTACTTATGACATCTTTCCTCTCTTTTCAATCTCCTAATAGGTCCTAAAGTTTGATTCTTTTTACTTAAATCTCTTTTAAGAGGCCCTGCTCATCAGTGCCTGCAGCCAGGAGGGACTGATGGAGAGAGCTGAGCATCTTTGACTTATTGGCAATAGCCAGAGTCATTCAGGAGCTGTTTGCTTAAGACATCCACTTGTTCTCCTGGAGGGAAGAGGAGCCCAAGAAAGCTGGATAACATCCAAGGATCTCCTCTTCCAAGCCCAGGAGCATCCTGACAAAGACGAAGTGAGGCAGAAACGCCAGGAGGCCTGCAGGGATGAACAAGGAGCTCTTAGGCAGAAGCTCTTCCCTGTGAGGGTGCTGAGGCGCTGGCACAGGGTGCCCAGAGAAGCTGTGGCTGCCCCATCCCTGGCAGTGTTCAAGGCCAGGTTGGACACAGGGGCTTGGAGCAAGCTGCTCTAGTGGAAGGTGTCCCTGCCCGTGGCAGGGGTTGGAGCTGGAGGAGCTTTAAGGTCCCTTCCAACACAAACCAGGCTGGGATTCTATGATCCTGTAACAACTTTGGCCATAAACCTCTGATTTCAACCCAAGGAACAGAATGTTCACCAGCCTCTGAGCTGCCCAAGGCTGGACTCAAGCCATCAGAGACTCCCCATCTTGGTTTACACAACCACAGTCCTGTGGCAACTGCCTGCATAGGATCATGGAATCAGTTGGGTTGGAAAAGGCCTTTAAGCTCATCCAGTGCAACCGCTCCCCAGCACTGCCAAGGCCACCACTAACCCATGGCACTGAAGTTTTAGCTGCAAGATTGATTGTTCCCCTGAAGAAAGTGATGAGCAGGGGGTCTGAATGCTCATGTGGATACCCAGTGTCTGCAGCCTGGTTCTTGTGCTTTAAATCAAGAGGTCGAACAGATCTTTCATGCTCACACTTGCTCTAAACATGATGCAACCACTCATTACTCACCTTCCAGAGGACACTGAAGTCTTTGTCTGCTGCTTGCTAAGGTTAAGGCAGCCCTTGGGCTTTGCCCTCTTGTACAAAGCCTCTTGAAGATGCTAAAGCATAACCACAGTGACCCTTTCATCTTTACACTGAGCTGCAACCAAGGGCACAAACCCTTCCTTCCTATGCATGGTGGGGAAGGGTGGCTCCTCTCCCCCTCATCCAGGCTGCTGGCACCACAAGGAGTTAATCCTTGAGCACCACGAGGCTTCCTCCCAAGGCATCAGCTCCAGTCACACCTTGTTTTTGCTGGCCAAGCTTCACAAAGCTGGAGCAGAGCCCAAGCTGCTCACTCATAACCGACCTTAAAGCAGCCTGGCCAGCAGCAACCAGGAGCAAGGTTGCGTGTCCCGGAGATGATGTTCATGGATGAAAGCAAAGCCCTGTCCCCACATGGGCTTCCCGAAGCAATGGGGTTATTTCAGAGCACTCCTTGTGCTGCTGGGCCTGTAGTAAAGAAACCCACAGGAGAAGGGAAGTGGCCTGAAATGGGCAGCTTGGGGAGCATGGGAAGGGGATGGGTGGAAGCGGGGCTGGCCTGGTGGGGTTGGGTTGCTTTGGGTTGGATTCCTGCTGTGATTTAATGTTCAGGAAGTGAAATTATAGCCAGAACCTGACACAGAACTGAAGCAGAGGGTGTAAGCCAATGGAGGAGTTTCACTTAATGCCTGTGGCTCAGAGGGACTCTCACTCCCAACCATTCCTCACCTCCTTACAGACCCATGGGTCCTTCTGCTGCCACCAAAGCTGCAGAGACACCCAGTTCCCATAATGTGAATTGGGAACTTGGGATCTCCGTGTTTTCTAGCACATCACAGAGAGGTCAACCCTGCATGGCCAGTTCATCACCCAGGTGTGTCAGACTTCCAGAAGGTAAGGCCATCCTGAGGTCTTTTACCTTACGCATGTAAGAGACAGAACACACTCAGTGCAAACATAACCAGAGCAGGGATCTCTCAGGGCAGCCACAATGGCCTGTCCCAACCCATACCTGTGATGTGATGGTGCAAGGAGAATCCCAGTCTGGTTTGGGCTGGAAGGGACCTTAAAGCTCATCCAGCTCCAACCCCTGCCATGGGCAGGGACACCTTCCATTAGGCCTGAACTTCCCCTGTTTTAGTTTGAACCCAAACTTAGAGCCAGCACCTGAATCTATTGCAAGGAAGTGAAGCATAAAGGAGCTAAAAATCCCTATTGATTCCTTAGGACCTCTGGCAACCTTTGCTTCTATGTGGCACCTTTACGTTTGCCTGGGCTGTGCTAACCCCAGGCTCTCCTCCCTGCATATCACAGGGGACAAAACCTCATGTGTCCTGCAAAAGAACCCCAAACCAACTCACTTTTCCACCCAAACCCATAGATTCAGCTCACTGTGCCCTATGACTGATACCCTGATGTTCCTCTGCGTTCGGGTGCCAAGGCACTGGGTTCAGGAAGTGTTGAGCTGTCCCCTTGTTCAGCCTGGAGAAGAAAAGGCTCCTGAAGGGGAGACCTTAGAGCAGCTCCAGTGCCTAAAGGGGCTGCAGGAAAGCTGGAGAGGGGCTTTGGACAAGGGCCTGTAGGGCCAGGCCAAGGGGAATGGCTTTAACCTGCCAGAGGGGAGGCTGAGATGAGCTCTTAGGGCTTGGGGAAACTCCTCCCCTGTGCAGATTGTGAAGGCATTGGGGGAATTCCTGTGTCCTGCAAGAAAACAGAGGCTGGAAACATCATCCCAGAGCAAGTGGGAGGAAGGTGATGCTGCGGGGGACACAGGGACAGCCGATCTCTTCCCTAAGAGATGCTCTGCACCAACGAACCCGCTCGCTGAGCCGCAGAGGAGCCGGTTTTGGTGATGGAAAGGTCCCCGTGGGGTTTTGGGATGGGGTGGGGGGGATTTGGCACCGATTTGTGATGTGAGAGTGAATCAGGGTGTAAAACGGAGCTGTTGGGGTTGTGGGCGCCTCTTCCCCCCATGGCACCGCTTGGAGGTGCTGCTGCCCCTAGTAACAGCCGCTCATCCTCCCTGGCGCCTGTGAGATGCGGAACCAGCTCCGGCTGCTCCAGCCCCGTCTGCGCGGAGACCAACGCTGGAAAACCTTTGGAATTCTGCTCCCAAAACAACCCCGGGCGGGGTTTTGTGGATTGGAGGCAAAGGCAACGCGGGTCCCCGTCCCCCACCCCGGCCACGATGCTCCTTTGTTCCGGCAAAGCTCCCATGGGCCCCATTTCACCTGGACTGGGGGTGGGGGAATCCCACTTTATCCTGGTTAGAAGGGAATAGGGATAACAAATCGCCTCCAGACGGCTCAATTCCCACCTCCAGGCTTCAGTTCTCCACATCCCAAAAAGCTTTTTCCCATTCCTTAGGTCTGTCGGTAACAAAATTCCCTCTGATCTCCCCTCAGGGTGAGATTTTAAGGAGAAAACCAGGGATTTAGGGAAAGGCTGCAAACCCAGCTCGGTGCGGGGAGGGGAGAGAGGGAGCATGGGGCAGGTTATGCCTCCATGGATGGGGTGAAAATAGGGCGAAAACCAGGGATGGAGGGGCTGCAAAGCAGTTATTCCTTTGTGTGAGCTGAGTTTTGGGGGCATCTCTTCCTGCAAGGGTTGATTTGGGGCTAATGTGGACCAAAATGGGACATTAAAGGGACTTTATTAAGCTATAAAAAGGGGAAGGTGCTGGGCTCTAACGCTGTGGAGATGGGGATGGGGAGGTTTAATAGTCCTCTTTCATTGCCAGCAGTGATTTATAGAGCTACGGCATCATCCTCCTGCCTACCCTCGGGGAAAAAAAGAGGGGGAAGACCCCAAAACCTCCTGGAAGGGATACAGCCGTTCTATGGGGCTCTGTGGGGCTGCGTGCGTGGTGGCTGAGGTCATGGAGCTATTAAATTCCCAACGGCTCCAGCACTGCAGGGATGGAAAATGAAGCGGCTCCGGTTGCAGTTAACCCCTGCGAGGGTCTGGGCTGAGACAACCACATCCCATGGTGCTGATGGCAGAGAACAGGGATGCTGGAGAGGGACCTTCATGTTATGGCCATGCCAAGGGTCTCCATCTGGGTCCTGAGGGACTCAGGATCCTTTCAGACATCCATGAAACCCTCCTGGTGCCTGCACAGAGCTCATCTGATTCAACCCCACACCAGGCAGCCTGGCTGGAGCCGCAGTGCCCATCCCTCGGTGCTGGAAACCCAGTGAGCGGTTGCATTTCACACTCAGAATTCCCTCTGGGTGAGACCCAGGGGCTTATTTTGGTAACTGGAACTTGGGAAAGCCCTCGGGAGAGGAGCCCTGTGACAAGAGGTGGCAGCTGGAGGCTCCCGGTGTCCCCATGAGGAGCCCCAAGCGTCTCCACCAAATCCCTTTGGACTTTGCGCTGAGCCTTGGGAACGCTGAGGAAACGGGATGGAGAGGGTGGGGAAGTGTCCCCTAGTCCTTGGAGAGGGGCACAGGGTGTTGGAGCAGCCCTGGGGATGCTCTTGGCTCATCTCATGCCCTAACAAACTACCTGGCATTTGTAGAGCATCCTGGTCCCCTCTCTCGGTCCCATTTATCCCCATCTCCTGGTTGTTCTGGTCTCTTCTTGCTCCACTTGTGTCCTGTTCCCACTTAGCCCCAGCCAAAAGACTTGTCCTTGTCTCCTGGTCCCATTTATCCCCTCATCCCACTGATTCTTTCTCCTGGTCCAACTTGTCCCCATCTCTTGATCCCATTTGTCCCCCTGGTCCCACTGTTGCCTTCTTCTGGTCTCACTTGTCCTGATCTCCTGATCTCATTTGTTCCATCTTTTGGTCACATTTTACCCCTCTCCTGGTTCTTGTCCCCATCTCCTTGTCCCACTGGTCCCCTCTCTCGGTCCCATTTATCCCCATCTCCTGGCTGTTCTGGTCCTCTCTTCTTGTTCCAGTTGTGTCCTGTTCCCACTTAACCCCAGCCAAAAGACTTGTCCTTGTGTCCCAGTCCCACTTGTCCCCATGTCCCACTGGCTCCTTCTTCTGGTCCAAGTTATCTCCATCTCT